CTCTTGATGAAGTTACTACCACTGATGTGACTGTTACAGATGATAGGATATTTCCTGATGAAACAGATGAACCCCCAGGTGAAGCAGAAGCCAACGAGACGGAAACCAGTACGGAAAAAGATACGTCCCGTAAAATTAAGAGACTTAGTTGAATTGTAATTTTGTGTTTGTAATTCCATACAGTTAATTAAGTAATTGTTAATTGTATGTGGTTATTGTTCGGGACAAACAATATTAAGGAGGGGGCAGTGTTGCGTCATCGAGATCATGTGATTCTCACGCCCTCTAGTTTCTAGAACTATCCCGTATCTTGGCGAATGCTCTAGTATTTACTAGATAGGGTAGGCTAGGTATATAAAAGAGGGGAATGTAATGTGTGTAGACAGTGAGTAATTGAACTGCAGTCAGAAGTATTATTGACGTTCGTTGTTATAGCGATTGTTGAAGTTGAGTGTATCGGTAAAGTTATATTCGGAAAGAATAAACCAGTTTTATTAAGTAAAGACTTGTGTCGTTAAAATTTCGTCGAAACGAAGTTACGGAAAAATCAATTAACAAACGGAGACGTAACACTATTTAAAATTATTAAAGGGCCTACTCCAAACTATACAGTCATTTTTTTTTCCAATCAATTATAGCAAGGTAGTTGGCCAATAATAAAATCAAATAAAATATGACTAAGGATTGGCTGCTTTCGGTTATGTGTGGTTGGGGAATATAATCCTTTGTTTGTTTGTTTGAATTTATGCACAAAGCTACACAATGGGCTATCTGTGCTCTGCCCACCACGAGTATCGAAACCCGGTTTCTAGCGTTGTAAGTCCGCAGACATACTGTTGTGCCACTGGGGGGCCATAATTGTTTAAATTATTTATCTTTTTTTTCTCATTTATTTCACCTTTCATATTTGCTATTAGCATTCTGAATTATCTAGGTTTACCTGTGGTTTGGTTGTTTACTCTTTATTTGAATTCATTACTAAGCAACTACTTTTCCATAATTAGTACCAAACGGCCTAGTTCAGGTGTTTAACCTATAATGTCCTGAATCAGATCTTCTAATAATTTAAAATTTGTTCATTTGTTGTTGCATAGCATATTCTCACTCGAGTTGGTGCATAATTGAAAAGATAAACAAGGGTGGAGGAAATTCGATGACGAGGAACCCACTTTGAGACTAATAATGCTTGGAGACGGCTTGAATTCAAGCAGTCTCCAATCATTATAAGGGTGGAGGAAGCAATTTTTGATTGGTCAGACAACTCAGAAAAGAGTGCAAAGCATGCCAGTGCTAGGGTGGTCTAGGGGCATTTTTTCAACTTGGGGCTCTGAGATTGGATTTTGTGTTAATTTTACTATAATTTATTGAAAGTATTAATCATTTGAAAGCACTTTTTTTATGATTCACAAAAATAGGCCCTCACTAGCATTTATACTCACCATAGCTATAAGCAAACACAAGCTCGTACACTTGCAGGTTACACATGTAATTTATTATGCAAAATTTTGAAGTTCAAATTAAAGTTTAAAAAGTCCTACAATTACTATGACCAAATGTTGGTCCGGCTGCCAGACCTGCTCCAGCACACGTGACGAAATTCAACACATTTGCTGTTATGTTAAACTTATATTAAAGTTTTTCTTCATTACCCATTCAAGCCGTCTCCAGCCATTATGAAATTCAACACTATTTGAATGCTAGAACGCGGTTATACACTACTCAAGGCTTTATATAATTTTTTGACATGTCATTTTAAGATATTATTACTTCATTGTTTGAAGGTTGCTCATATCTTTCGCACATTTACACATGATGATGGTGTTCTTATTTTGTAGTTCCATATTTATTATTACTATATATATATATATATATATATATATA